ACCAGGAGGAAGGAGCAAACAGAGACCACGAGCAATCAGACACACATGAGGAGGGGGGCTATGCCCCTGCGGGGGCCGAGGGAGGATGGCCAGGGACCAGAGGTCAAGAAAAAAGCAGAGCCTTCCCCAGAGCTGAGAGAGGGGAGAGAGACAGGAGAAGGGGGAGGAAGGGGGGAATGGGGAGGGGAGACAGGATGGGGTTGGAGGAGAGGCAATGAGGGAGGGGGTACACTCCTCATCTGCTGGAGCCTGCAGCACCCTGGGTTTGGCCTCGGGGCGTCCAGGGCCGTGAGTGGCACCCCTGTTTCTGCAGGTTCGAGGCCTGGTGGGAGTGGCAGTAAGGGGCACCACGGAGCCACGTACCCGGTCTTGGCGAAGTTGGTCCAGTAGGTCATGACCACGGCGCTGAGCATGACGTCGTTCTTGGAGAAGTTGCAGCTGAACAGCTCGGTGGGCCCCACCATGGGGATGCCGAAGACGTAGGGCACCTCGTCACCGTGCGCCGAGTCGGCCCAGGTGGGCTTCATCTCGCTCTGGCAGTGGTGGTAGAAGGCGTAGAAGTAGGTGGGCGAGCCGTACTGGGCGTGCAGGTCGGCCGTGGCCACGGCCGGGGCCACCCACTGGTGGTCAGTGAAGAGGGCCACGAGGGTCTTCCGGCGCGTCTCGGGGTTGTCCTTGTCGGCCCAGTCGGTGTACATGAACTTGATGGTCTCGCGCAGCGTGTCCTTGCCCTCCGGGTAGCCGTACAGGTTGTCCACGAAGTTGGACACGGAGAAGTCGAAGTCGTTGGGCGTGACGCCGTCCTCGCCGTCCACGATGCCGTCCACGAACTTGAGGCCCTCGCCCTGGTTCACGCCCAGCATGATGTCGTAGTTGAGGAACTCGCCCTGCTCCATGAGGATCTGCGGGTCGTCGGGGATGACGTCCCCGTCGATGACCGGCCCGAAGGCGATGTGGTAGGTGGCGGGCGCGATGGCGTGCTGCACCAGCTCCCGGGGGCTCTTGTGGCGCAGGCACTCCACCAGCTCCGTGGTGTCCAGCATGTTGCAGCCCACCTTGTCGGCCAGCACGCGCGTGTACTTGGCTGGCTGGTAGTTCACGGCCCAGCTGGACAGTGCCGTGCCGCTCTGGATGATGGCCTTCTGGAACAGACCTGCGGGGGCGGGGCCGGACATGCAAATGAGCGCACACCTGCACCCGCCCCTCCCCAACCCCGCTGCAGGGATGCATGAAGACCCCACCCCCGCAAAGAAGGCACGCTTTGTGCACAGGCCAGGGGGACCTCCCGGTCGGGCAGTCCCCGCCCGCTGCACCGTGGCCCCAGGGACTCTTGTCTCGTGTTTAAGTTTATTTTTAATCATCTTCTTGGGAGGGCTCTTACCACCCACCCTGGGGTGGACCGACCGTGCGCACGTGGCCATCATCGTTTGCGAAGCATTTTCGTTCTACTTTGAGCCCCTTTGGAATCAGCTTTGCTTTCCCCCCACCCTCCCACCCGCGTGAACCTGGATAAATCCCAGACCATTGTCAGGGAGTCTGCTCAGCACCTGTGTGGGCCCGCACAAGGACGTATGCACCTAGGAATGCACGCACATAGGGATGCACGCACAGATACATGCACGCACGGACACACATGCACGGACACACGGATGCATGCACTCATGGATGCATGCCCGGATGCACGCAGGTAGGAACCCATGCACAGATGCATGCACGCACGGACACACACGCATGGACACACACACACACACATGGATGCACGGATGCATGTACTCATGGATGCACGGATGCATGCACTCAATGGATGCATGCCCGGATGCACGCAAGTAGGGACCCATGCACAGATGCATGCACGCACGGACACACACGCATGGACACACACACATGCACAGACACACGCATGAATGCACGGATGCATGCACTCATGGATGCATGCCCGGATGCACGCAGATAGGGACCCATGCACAGATGCATGCACGCATGCAGTGATGCATGCACGGATGCATGCATGGACGCACGGGACAGGTGCACGGATGCATGAACTCATGGATGCACGCAGGTAGGGACCCATGCACAAATGCATACACGCATGGAGGCACGCATGGACACACGCATGGATGCACAGAAGCATGGACACACGCACGAACGCACACAGGCATGCATGCATGGATGGATGCACGCATGTAGGGACACATGCATAGATGCATGAATGCACGGATGCATGCACACACGGATGCACACACTCATGGACTCACACATGCACATGGTGCATAAGGAGTTGAAATTCCAATGTCCCTTTCGCTACAATGTTGCAAACCTGGGGCTGCAACTAGAGCACAGTCCTGGCAAAGGGCTGTTCGGGGACCCCAAACGCAACCCGATTCAGTGCCGTCGAGTGGATGCCGACTCACAGTGGCCCTATGGGACAGGGCAGCGCTGCCTCTGTGGGCTCCAGAGACTGGACCGCTGGAGGGGCGTCGAAAGCCCCGTCTTACTCCAGAGCCGGTGCAGTGTTTCCCCAGACGGGGCCACGCTGCACCCTGGGGGCAGTGGCAGAAAGATCTGGAGGGCGCCGAGCATGTGCGTGCCGACACTTTATCCTGTACAACAGATAGGCTTCGGGACAAATGTTTTCCATGGCTGGGGGGTGGCTGGGTGTGTGAGTCTCCCCCGTTCTTTCTTTCTGCAAGGAGGCAGTAGGGCAAAGCCACTTGGGGACCAGTGGTCTGTAAGGTCTGCTTACGGCAGGGGGCTGCCAGGAGGTTGGGTGCGGAGGGAAGGGCAGAAGAGGCTGTGTCCGGGGACATTTTTAGGGCAATTGTTGGCAGGGTGGACATCTGAGGTGAAGAGTTTGAACCGGATGCTAGTGGTGAACGTGACCCTGTAGGGATGGTGCTGGGTCCACGGGGATTGTAATCCGAGAGCCCTAGGGATGGGACGGGCTGAGGTTGAGTTGTATGTGGGCACAGCCCTGAATTTCTGTGTCTTTCCCCCGAAGCTGAAAAGGATTCCCCCCAAAAAACAGAGGATCTTAAAAGAGACACCATCAGAGAAACAAACTGCCTGCCATTGAGGGGACGCTGACTCACAGCGACCCTGCAGGACGGGGCAGAGCCGCCCCTGGGGGTCTCCCAGGCTGTCAGTCTTTACAGGAGCAGACAGTCTGGTGTTTCTCCGGAGGAGCTAACAGAGAGGTAGATATTCAAATAGATAGATAGATAGATACATAGATTGATTGATAGATAATAGATATAGATTATAGATAGATAAACACACTGCCATCGAGTGGATGCCAACTCATAGCGACCCTGCGGGACGGGGCAGAGCTGCCCCTGTGGGTTTCCCAGGCGGTCAGTCTTTATAGGAGCAGACAGTCTGGTCTTTCTCCCCAGGGCATGTCCAGTGGGTTTGAGCTGCTGACCTGTTGGTAAGAAGCTCAGTACACCACCAGGACTCCTTCTTAGAAAGAAAGTGTTGTTTAATTTAAATATCTATCGGAAATAGAGGTAGAGAGACACAAAGGGACAGGGAGAGAGGGGAAGGGAGAGAAAAACAAACCATGAACCCCCAGTAGATATCCAATGATACTGAAGATACCGTGCTCATTTTCCACCCAGTGTTTTAAGACAGGATGAGAGCCCTGTGTCCATCCTTGACGTGAGGGAGCCCAGCCTGTGCTGACCTCAGGTTCCCTCAGTAGAGACTGACCGTTAGGGGAACCTGCCACCCCACTTGGGTTTAAAAGAAAGAAACGGGCCCTTTCATGAGGCAGACGTCAAAGCCGCTGTGGACACACACGTAGCCCCTCACTGGAGGGAGTACAGTTCTCCGCTAGATGAATCTCAGAAGACCCGTCCAGGCCTCTGTTCAGAGCTGCACGCCCTATCTATTGACGACGGGGCGTCCTGTCAGCTAAGCGGACGGGCCTATTGATGTCCCTTACAGAAAGGCTCTCTGCTGGGCCAACCCAGATGGGCCCTGCTTTAGAATTTCCTCTCTGGTCACACCTTCCACAAATATATCCCTTCAGGGCCCTGGGCTCTGCCTACTTCACCTAGGCCAGGTGTTAAGGTGCCCCACGTAGGTGAGAAAGGGGCCCCTGATGGTGCAGTGGCTACAGTTTGGTCTGTGGTCCAGAAGGTCCGCAGTTTGAAACCACCAGCTGCCCCTTGGGAGAAAGAAGAGGCTGTCGGCTCAAGAGACATCGTTTGGGAAGCCCACGGGGGCAGCCCGACTCTGTCCTGCCGGGTCACGGTGAGGCTGGAGTTTGGTAAGGTGAGAAACAGTGCCAAAGCTGGACATGCGGTAAAGGAGACCAGAGAAGAATCAATGCATTGGAATTGTGCCCCTGGAGAAAAATCCCGATAGCAGCCGCCATTCCCCAAAGGACAAACGGATCTGTCTTGAAGAAGAAACGCCGAGGGCTGCTTAGAGGCCAGGAGGGCGGTACTTGGTTTTACATACGGTACTTTGGACATGTTGCCGGGAGAGACCAGTCTCTAGAGAAGGACATCGTGTTGTCCACGGGGAGGGGTGGCAAGAAGAGGAGGGCCCTTCCGGGGATGGATGGACACCGTGGGGGCTCAGGCGTAGGAGGAATGGTGAGGACTGGGCAGAGCTTCTGTTGTGTGCGGCCATCATTTTTAACCTCTCGGGTTCCTTAGGAAGTGGCTCCCCCAACTGTCGCTCATATTAATTCCTGGTGTGTGCGTGTGAGTGTGAGTGTGGTCGGGGGAGATCGTATGTAGCCATATACATTGGAAAAAATGGGCCTCAAGCCACCAGTCCTACCACCGCTGCCTTCTGGGACATATGTGTCCCACATCATTGTCTCAACGTCTCAAAATCACGTTGCCTCTGGATTTCGGCTGAACACACCTAGTCTCAGGAACCGAATGAACGCAGCGCCGCATTGGGCCACAGTCTGGACTTGACTGGACCGCCCGCGGGATTCCTGGTGGAACAGAGGTTAGGCGCTGGGCTGCCATCCGGAAGGCCGGCGGTTTGAAACCACCAGCCGCTCTGATGGAGAAGGGTGGGGCTCTCTGCTCCCGGCACGAGTGATCGGCTGGGACACCCACAGGGGCAGGTCTGCCCTTGTCCCACAGGGTCACTGTGCGTCGGCATCCACCCGACGGCATGAGTTAGGGGGTCTTTGGGGTGTGACGGCAAGCAGTCTGAGTTCAACTCCTAGTCACCAGAAGATGGTGCCCCCCACTTCCAAGTGCCTGGGAAAGAAAGAGTGGCCATGGACTTCTGAGAGCCGTCCCTCACCCCCACCTTGGGGCCGGGGGAGGCAGTTCTACTCTGGCACGTGTGCAGAAGAGGCAGGTGGGGGGACCCTGAATCGGAGGGGACTGAGGCGCACTGGTTGGCACGCGATTTCTGGGACCAGCCATGCAGGGGAAGACTGGTACCATGCGCCATGCCCCCGGCCTCTCAGTGGGGCTGAGGAGCCTTCCTGGGTTGGGGCCCGGCGTGCCCACCACCCGCGTTACCTTCTGAGTAGTGTGACAGGGTCAGCAGGCTGACGCAGGAGGCTCCGGCGCCCGAGCCGAAGATGGTCACTCTCTTGGGGTCCCCGCCGAAGGCCCCCACGTTCTCCTCGATCCACCGCAAGGCTTGGATCTGGTCCAGCAGCCCGTAGTTGCCCTTGGCCGCCTGGTCCCCTGTGCTTAGGAAACCTGCAGACGGAGGGACACAGGGATATCGGGTCTGTCACTGAGAGGAAGGAAGTGCCCCACGCTGACCCGCTGACCGCTGCTCCTCACCCCCTGGCCCGTGAACTGGGGAACTGGGGCCTGGCGGGTGCGGTGGTTTCAGGCATGGGCTGCTAACCCTGACGTCGACGGTTCAAACCCCCCAGCCGCCCCATGAGAGAAGGAAGAGTATGGTTGTGTCCACGGAGACCGGCAAGCTTGGAAATCCTACGGGGCAGACCTGCTGTGTCCCCCAGTGCTGCCCGGGGTTCGAAGCTCACTCCCAGCATCCCGAGTGTCAGTTTCACTCCTGTCAGCAAGCCCACTGCTGCTCCAGAGGGTGATGTTGCCACCCCGATGCCCCCAGTGTCCACTCTGCTTCTCCACAGAGCCCAATGTCACCAGCCCCATGTCCCCCAGTATCCACTCTGCTTCTCCAGAGTCCAACGTCACCACCCCCGTGTCCCAGTGTCCACTCTGCCTCTCCACAGAGCCCAACGTCGCCACCCCCATGTCCCCAGTGTCCAC